GAGCGGGCCGAAAATCCGCCCGATGACTTTCCCTGGGCGGATACACGCGTCTGTGCCCCCGTGGGTGCCACCAGGGAATCGAGGGGCTCGCGAGCCGAGGGCCTCAGGACAAGGAACTCCCACTCACCGAGCGGGGGCTCTACCCTGGGCCCATCTGATCCTCAGCCCCTGAACGGTAAGGGTTTTTTTTTTTCTTTTGAGCCGGAGTCTCACTCTGTCGCCCACGCTGGAGCGCAGGGACTCGCAGTGACCCGCTCACGGTCGCCACCGCAGCCTTGACCTGCTGGACTCCGGCGATCCTTCCGTCCCGGCCTCCCGAATAGCTGGAATCACAGGCCCGTGCCACCACGCCCAGCTGATTCTTTGATTTAGTGTAGAGAGGAGGGCTCACCAAGTTGCCCGGGCTGGTCTCGAACCCCTGAGCTCAGGCAATCCTCTCGCCTCTGCCTCCCCAAGTGCTGGGATAACAGGCGTGAGTCACAACGCCTGGCAGGGGCAAGATTCTTATCCCGGTGTTACGCTGACACTTCAGCTCAGAGAGGTTTCACCCTCAAGGCCATGTGAGCGGCACTGTGCCCGCTGAGATGTAAACTGGGGTGGCCATGCAAATGCAGTGCAGGATGAGAAGTGCCCCTCCTCCTGACAGCCACTCAGGCGACTCTCAGAGGACTGAGTCTTGGCACATACAAGAGCCCTCCCTCACCTCACCCCCACACTTAGGAACCCTAGACTTCTCTCCAAGAACCCAAGGGTCAGGCCTGCCCGCCTGAATTTCTACTGACAATGAGGATGGGCCAGTATTTTGAAATTCAGAGCCAAGTGTGTGTAGAAAAGGCTGTTCCTTCCAACAGTGATCTAGATTTGTTGTCTGTATAGTGACAAATTACAAAGAAAGGCATCTCCTGCCAGGCGCAGTGGCTCACACCTGTAATCCCAGTTTGGGAGGCCGAGGTGAGAGGATTGCCTGAGTCCAGGCCTTTGAGACCAGCCTGGGCAACTCGGCCAGACCTCATCTCTACAATAAATCAAAAAATTAGCTGGGTGTGGTGGCGCAGGCCTGCGATTCCGTCTACTTGGACGGATGAGGTGGAAAGATCGCCTAAGTCCAGGAGGTCATGGCTGCGGTGGCCGTGAGCCTGCCACTGCACTCCAGCCTGGGCAACAGAGTGAGAGTCCCATTCAAAAAAAAAAAAAATCAGGGATCTCCTAGTTCTCAAGCAGAGTCTTAAGCTTCAGTTTGCAAAAATAAGTTTCAAAAATGAAGAAACATTAACTTTGCCTTTTTCTGTTTTCTTTTGTCTTTTTTATTTATTTTTGGCTTTGTGATTATATGTTTAATCACTTATTTTATTTTTATTGGTAACGTTATTTAGTTCTATTATTTTTCTTCTAATAACTACCTGTGTTGCACATTTTCTAGTATGTTGTGTTTTATTTTATTATTATTATTATTTTTTTTTTAGAAAGCAGGATTTATTGAGAGGACAGAAAAGCTCCCACAGTGGGAGGGGACCCGAAGGGGTCGCCCATTTTATTATTAAGAAATTTGCTGGCCAGCTGCCGTGATTCACGCCTGTAATCCCAGCAGAGACGAGAGGATTGCTTGAGCCCAGGGGTTGGAGACCAGCCTGGGCAACTTGTTGAGACCTCGTCTCTAACAATAAATCAAAAAATTAGCTGGGCATGTGGCGTATACCTGTATTTCCAGCTACTTGGAAGGCTGAGGCAGAAGGATCACCTGAGCACAGTGGGTCGAGGCTGCCTTGACCATGAGTGTGACTACTGCACTCCAGGCCAGGCGACAGAGTGAGACTCCAACTCAAAAAATAAGTAGGCCAGTCCCCTCGAGTCCCCTCCCATTGTGGGAACTTTTTTGTCCTCTCTATAAATCCTGCTTTAATAAATAAATACATAAATAAATAAATAAAATAATTAATTTCAGGTATGATAATGAAGTTATATACACATCTACTTGTTTTTTAAGGCCATACTTTGCAGGAACAGTGCCAATATATTTACTAGAGCTATAGCATTATGTTTGGGGTTGTTTCAAAACAATCTGGGACAAGAATCAGGCACGGTGGCTCAAGCCTGTAATCCCAGCATTTTGGGAGGCCAAGGTGAGAGGATTGCCTGAGTCCAGGGGTTTGAGACCAGCCTGGGCAACTGGTGAGACCTTGCCTCTACAATAAATCAAAAAATTAGCTGGGCGTGATGTCTTGCACCTGTAGTTTCAGCTACTTGGAAGGCCGAGATGGAAGGATTGCCCGAGCCTAGCAGGTCGAGGCTGCGGTGGCCATGAGCGTGCCACTACACTCCATCCTGGGTGACAGAGTGAGACTCCAACTCAAATCATAATCATAATCTGGGACAGCGAGAAGTGAATGAGGTCCATATATATATGAAATAGCATCAGCCATGGATTACTGGTAAACGTTAAAGCCTGAGGACGGATAAGTGACAGGTCATTATACTGGCCTCTCTCTCCTTTGGCAATGTTTGAAGAATTTCATGATGGAAATATGTTAAAACTACAAATGCACTTACCATTTGCTCTTAACACAGCATTTCCCCTTCCAGGAAATTATCTCGCAGACCTGCTTGGCCATGTGTAAAATGATACCCACACAAGGGTAGTCACTGTAGAACTGTTTGTAATGGAAAAATATTGGCCATGTTATGTGCTTATCAACAGGGGCCTGGTTAAATATAGTACATTTTAGAATGATTTACATATGCAGCTGTTAAGAAGAACGCAGTAGCTATATTTACTGATTTGGCACGATCTCCAAGATATGTCAGCAGATAAATAAAAGTAGAGGAAACTGTGTATACAGTAACCAAGCATTTGTGATCATGAGGAAAGCAAGGAAGGGAAAAAGACAATAGGTGGTTGCTTCTGAGGAGATACGGGTGTCTGGGAGTTGGGGTGGAAAGAACATCCTTTTCTTTCTTTCTTTTTTTTTTTTGAGTTGGAGTCTCACTCTGTCGCCCAGACTGGAGTGCAGTGGCCGCTCCCGGCCACCACAGCCCCGACCTGCTGGGCTCCGGCGATCCTTCCGCCTCAGCCTTCTGAGTAGCTGGAACTACAGGGGCGTGCTACCACACCCTGCTGACTTTTGATTTATAGTAGAGAGAGGTCTCGCCAAGTTGCCTGGGCTGGTCTCGAACCCATGGGATCAGGCAATCCACTAGCCTCGGATTCCCAAAGTGCTGGGATGACAGGCTGAGCCACGGAGCCCGGCCCGTAAGAATTTCGAACTATGTAAGTGTGCTATCCTTTCCAAAACCAAAAATATTTTAATAATAAAAGCAACACATGCTCCTTTAAGAAAAATAGAAAACCAATTTATTAAACTGAGATTAATAGAAAGTCAAAGGAGGTTTGTGAGAAATAAAGGAGGGGAGGAATGTAATTTCTGGTTTTAATGATATATATACTTTTAGGAGCAGTTTAATCAACATACTCATAACAAAATCAATTTTTATGAGACAATCTGGGAAAATATGTTTTGAAAAGTTCCGTCTTAGGCATCACTATGGTCCCAGGACCTATGCATGACACATAGTTTGTGATGTCTTTTTTTTTTTTTTTTTTTTTGAGTTGGAGTCTCACTCAGTTGCCCAGACTGGAGTGCAGTGGCCGCTCCCAGCCACCGCGGCCTCGACCTGCTGGGCTCCGGCGATCCTTCTGCCTCAGCTTTCCAAGTTGCTGGAACTACAGGCACGCTACCATGCCCAGCTAATTTTTGGTTTATTGTAGAGATGAGGTCTTGCCAAGTTGCCCAGGCGGGTCTCGAACCCACGGGCTCAGGCAATTCACTCACTTCGGCCTCCCAAAGCGCGGGATTACAGGCTGAGCCACCGAGCCCGGCCGAGTCTTTCTTTATAGAAGATGCAACACTTTCTTTGGAAATACAGCTTGGTCTCTTAAAGTCAAGTCAGGATTTGCATCTCCTACCTAGGACTAGCCATGACCTTACTTAACTGCAAAGTCTCCCCAGCCCTTAATTTGCTCATTATAAAATGGGCAGATCGCACAGACTTTGTAAAATTGTTGTGAGGATCTTCTGGGCTGATGCATAAACCATTATTAGCACTATTAGCACAATACTTGGCACCAAGGAGGCACTCGATAAATAGTCACTTTTATTCAATGACAAATGGAAAGTGAATCCAGAATAAGAAGGAAATGGACTTAATTCCCATCAGAAAGAAATTTAAGTCTTAGTTCCTAGTCTAAAAATAAACAATTGTCTTTTTTTTTTTTTTTTTTTGAGTCAGTCTCACTCTGTCACCCAGGCTGGAGTGTAGTGGCATGCTGCTCATGGCCACCACAGCCCCGACCTGCTGAGCTTAGACGATCCTTCTGCCTCAGCCTTCCAAGCAGCTGGAACTACAGGCGAGCGCCACCACACCCGGCTAATTTTTTTTTTTTAATTTATTTGTTGTAGCAATGAGGTCTCACCATGTTGCCCAGACTGGTCTCGAACCCTTGGGGTCAGGCAATCCTCTCGCCTTCACCTTCCAAAGTGCTGGGATTACAGGCTTGAGCCACCACGCCCAGCAACAATTGTCCTCTTAAGAGAAAATAATAGATAACAATCTATAGATAAAAGGCTGGTTCTTGGAAGAAAAAAAATTAAGAAGTCATTCTCTGGGAAAAGGATTAAGCAGTAACTGTGATAGGTTACTCAAGTACTTTTGTTTACTCCAATTCTCCTATCATTCCTTCACCAGAAAACACCAACCCTGACTTCTCCCTTCCTCTTCTGTGGGTGGGCTTGGGGGGAGGCATGGCTGGGGAAGGAGGCGAGAGAGAGAAAGAGAAGTCTTCATATATCTGGTGGTTCTCAAGCCCGGTCACAGTGGATCAGCACCAGGAGCCCTAGAACCTTCTCGGAGGTCTGCATTCCCAGGAGGCCTGTCTTGACAAGCCCTCCAGACAATTCTGATGACTGATAGTGCTTTGAGGTAAAATACCCCTTAGGGATTCCAACTCTGGACTCAGTAATTTACCAGAAACCTGCACAATGTCAGTTTCTGGGGGAAGGGAGAATCGGGAGTTGAGACAGACCAAACATGGGCTAGACTCAGGAACTCTAAAATCCAGTTGCAAGTATTACTTACTCTGTCGTTACCTCATGGGAAGGAAGGTGGAAACTTTAGGTTAAAAGTTTCAGCGTGTGGTCTGAGTGATATTGATGCCGGAGTTTATCATTCTCTAGGAAAACTAAACGGAGAGAGGAAAGGTGAGGCTTCTGGCGTGTATCCCAACGGCCACCCGGTGAGGGGGCCATCTGTGAGGGAGGCTGGTGTGAGCCAGGCCTACCTGTGCAGGAGCGGTGGGGAGCCTCCCTTCACTGACCGTGGCCACCTCACCAAGGCCAGGAAGAAGAGGAACACAAGAAAATACAAGCCAGGGGGCAGACTTTCCTGTATTCGTGACCCTAAAGGACCGTTGCCTCGAAGAGTTTCAGAGCATTTTGTCCCACTTAAGAAAGAGTATTTCACACAATCGGTTCCTCCGCCCCATCTCTGAACAGGAAACCGGTGGATGATTCGCCCTTGATTCACAGCTAATTGTTCTTAATTGCCTCACCTGGTTGGGAGGTGAGTACGTGTTTAAGCTCATAAAAGCTGGCGGGAAGGGGTCAGGAGTGATCCAACCAGCTCCCTACCCTGGCAGCAGGGTCAGGAGGCAGGTCTCTGCATGCCTTCCCATGATACAGTACCAGACACCCCAGGAAAGCCTGGGGTGAAAGCCAGATTCACATTTACTGGAAACCCCCTTTGCCTGGATCGAGCATAAAAGTCTCTGCGGAACGATGGCTCTCAGGCAGGGTGCTCGTCCGCCTGTGTCTGTGAGTTAGGGGCAACCATGCTGGGCCTCCAAAAAATAGAGGCGCTTGATCTGATTACAGCTGTGATCTTGCAGGATCCAACCTTTGTTCCTCTGCGTGTTAGACTTTTGGCGAAAGCTCAGCTCCCCACCAAGGGCAAACTTTTCCTCCCCTTCCCCCCTTCTGCCAATGCTCTGGTTAGGAGGAAAAATTCTTGGCCCCTCTTAAAATGCAGTTTCCATATCCTATTTCTTCCCTCTGTCCCGTCACAAGCTGATTTAATAGATGCAAATAGCGTTTAAAGCTTCAGACATGTCAGACTTTGAGCCAAATCCACAGACAGCTCCATGATTCTTAGTTTCCTGTATTGGTTAGGGCTTACTTGGAACATTCACTACAAGTTTCCGTTATGGCTTTGATAACTCATTAAGACAAACTCCGTTTGGTGGCTTGATGACCAATAAGATGAAATCGCTCACACCCGCAATTTATTTGAGCCAGAAAATGTTGCTGGACAGTTTCAGATGAAAACTCTAAGGCACAAACTCTAAGTTTGGCTTCTCATTTGAGATCTATTTGTCTCCCATGCCAGTCCTTCTCTGTAGCGATTCACTTCTCTGCTTGCCATCTTGCAGTTTTACAGTTCCCGCCCCCATCAGTTATTCCAAAATCCATTTAAAAGACGTATGATTCTTATAGACGACACAGTTTTGAGAAAAGGAAGTGTGAGTGTCCAAGGTCTGTGCAAACCTGCCAAAATTCTGCTTTGAATGAACTGTGTTTGCTTCCCTGAGATACCTGAAACAGGAGACTCTCTGGCATTTCTGAAATGGGAGAGTCTCATGCCTCACTTGCTCCTCAGAATGTTTATTTTAAACCACACTGAAATCTATTACTCTTCGTGAATTCACTTTAGGAGTCAGCACTGCAACTTTAAAATCTCCAGCCTGTGGAGGAACACAAGGCCTGATTAGGCCAGCATCAATTGGGTAAATGACTTTGAGGCAGGAAAACTCAGGAATGAGATGACAAGAATGTCAAAGCTGAATAGCCAGCTGAAAAACATTTGCTGTTCTGGAGCCAACAAAGAATGGGAACAGCAGGTTCCTGGTTCCCAACAAACAAAAGGCAGTCAACATTGCTGTTTAAAAGACAGAACCCTCAACTGCCAATCCCACCCCCCCCAAAAAAAAACTGCTAGGGCAGGGAGGGGCATACCTCATTAATAGGAGTACCTGCATGATCAGTTTGTATACCTAACCCTGTATTGTACCCCACATCTTTACATTAAAATTTTAAAATGGGCCGGGCTCGGTGGCTCAGCCTGTAATCCCAGCGCTTTGGGAGGCCGAGGTGAGTGGATTGCCTGAGCCCGCGGGTTTGAGACCCACCTGGGCAACTTGGCGAGTCCTCATCTCTGCAATAAATAAAATTAGCCAGGCGTGGTAGCGCGCACCTGTAGTTCCAGCTACTTGGAAGGCTGAGGAGGAAGGATCGCCGGAGCCCAGCAGGTGGGGGCTGCGGTGGCCGGGAGTGGCCGCTGCACTCCAGTCTGGGCAACAGAGCGAGACTCCAACTCAAAAAAAAAATTTTTTTTAATGCTATAAAATAAATAAATAAATAAATAAAATAATAAAAGACAGAACCCTACAATCAAGCAGCCACGTTGCAAACCTGCCACAATGCGCGTAGTCGGTTTGCCGAACTCCTGCACTCCAACCCTCACCTGCCCTGAATCCCGATACAGTAGTATAAATGCTTTTATCTTGTCTCTGCCTCTTTGCAGGCAGCAAACACTCTTGCTGTCTTACCCGGAATGGATCCTCCCTTTAATAAATCTACCTTTCTTTTTTTTTTTTTTTTTT